GGGGCGCACTACCAGCGACGCGTAGTCGTCTTCCAGGAGGCACTCCCGCACCCGGTGCAGCAGCTTCGTCTGGCCCCGTGACGACTCCATGTAGTGCTCCGCCAGCTGTAAATCCTCCGCGTCTCCCAGGATGGCGTCTGTGCGAGATAGCGTTGGAGGAAGCTTGCCCCAATTTATACTCATTTGACTCTCGATAGGTTTCGACACCCTCTCTAAGACTCTGTTGTTTTGAATCAGAATATGGCATTCAAAATAATTCTCTGCGTTAATTATTACAAGCTTAATTGAATCAACAACATGCTGAAGAGTATCAAGGTCCTTTTCACTATTTGGAGTTATAATGTATCCAGTAAGCATCCCAGCAATTAAATTGTTTACACAGAAATTTAACAAACTTAGCCATATCATTACACGGCCTAGGCGGGGGTCAAAAATACCTGTGAAAAGTGTTCTAATAACTTCCAGAAGAGCTGTGCTGTAGCCTTTGTGAAAGTTCAAGACTATTACTGTAAACATTATAAGCACAATGAGGGAAATACCAACCCAAATTAAATATGACACTGCCAATACAATGTTCTCATGAACTGGTTCAGATTTGCGCACGAACACACAAAGGTTATTTTCATCAATGGGATAGAGGTAACAAACTCCTTGCTCTTTCCTAACATAAGTACGGAAAAAGAAAGCAGATATATTGAAACGATATCCTTTATATGCACGCAAAAGACGATTACGATCATCAATCAACTTGTCTTCCATAGAGAAAAGCATGCAGAGTCCATACATTCCTCCCATTCGACGATTGTACAATTTGTTGCATAAAGGAATAACATCAGAATATGCTTTGCAGTTCTTCTCGTTTCCACTGTATACTGCCAATATGTGCAATATTCGTTCTGGTAAATATTTTGATAGATACCACTGCTTTGTGCAAAAATCTTTATCTTTGTTATGGAAATAAAACTGTATAAAAACCTTTTTATCACTGAAAGAGCTGTTTATTGCTGTATGGTTGAACGTACGAAATTTTGGTAAGAGTAGTTTGTTTGCAGCGAAACTACTACTTTGAAGGTACATTATCACAAGTAGATTAAAGATCACTGAATTTCCCATTGTCTTCGTTTTTTTCTATTCTTCAGTCAGTAAAAATGTTCAAGTAAGTACATTCCTTACAATTAAACTTCTTTGAGACTGGAAAGTGTTTTTTGTGTGTCCATGAAGATTAAAGCCAACAGTCGCCATAGTCGCTGGTGTTTATATGGATACACCCATTGTTCTACTATTTTATTACCGGATGATTTTTTTGTTTTCCTTCAAAAATGAAATAGTACGTGACACTGAACGGTTGAATACGAGAGTAATTAGATCAATATAGGCAGCGTGATCCGCCTGAAGTAACGACAAACTTGCGTGGAAAAAAAACATTTTCTTCTCATCAATACTGCTCGCCCTATCTAGATCCGATGCCATTATAACGGGGTGTCGAGACACCAGCGTCAACCACAAGCCGATGAGACTTCTCGGGAGACGTATGGTTGTTTACTACAAATTAAGAGTGCAGCATCCCTTAGTTGTTTATAGCTAACCCAATTGTCTGACTAAAGTTGAAATTATTACTTGAAAAACGTGGTAATCTCAGAGAAATGTTATTGGATAGAGTTAGACCTAGACAAAATGTTTTCATTCAAAAATCACACTATAATCTTATTAAAACAAAACCGAACATTACAAACATTACACACACACACACACACACACACACACACAGTGTTCCTCCATTGCTGGATGGTCAGATCCGGTGCCAAGCCAAAAATCAAGTTGCTGGAGATTTCCTCTATAGCGGGCCACCGCCCCAGCTGGCACAAGCTCTAAGCTCCCTTCTGGTCTCCCGAATCGTTTGGTAGTGTAGAGAATGCAAGTGCAAGTGTGTGTAACTAAGGAGTGATGATAGAACAAAGAAGAGACAGGAAATATCCCGCGCGGTCCGTGGTTCGTTCGTTCGCTCTGGCATTCGCCTGGAGTTGATCGGAGAAACCACGCAAAACAGCCTAGAATTCTTCTCCAGACAGCGGCTGAATTCGATCTAGCTGGCAAGCTAGTGTCGAAAATCCTGCCGCCTTTGGGAGAGGACGCCTAGGACCTCCCGGTCAGAGGCACCGCAATGACATCAGTAGACGCACTGAAGACACCTGCCCCGGTCGCCCCGTAAAGTTGCGTTCGCGAAGAACACCTTCACAGGGCCAAAGCGTTGCAGAGCGCCTTCGCGACGCGCTGCTCACTCACCCAGAGAGCCCCGGCGGGGCGCGCGCGGCGCCACGGACGACGCGGCGGCCGCCGCCGCAGCCACGCTGGCCGCCCACGCGGCGCGCTGCTGCAGCGTGTCGTCCGTGTCCGTGTCGTCGTCGTCCTCGTCGTCGTCGTCCACGTCCGCGTCCCCGCAGACCTCCGCGAGGGACGGCGGCGCGTCCGCCTCCGCGTCCTCCACCTCCTCTTCCTCCTCCTCCTCGTCCTCCGCCCCCTCCTCCTCCTCCTCGATGCCCGCCACGTCCACGCGCAGCCGGCTGCCGCCCAGCGTGCCCACCAGGCTCTCGTGCTTGGAGAGGTGCGCGAAGAACCTGCGGACAACGACGGCTTCAGGCGGCTGCACACATTCGGCAGTCGACGAGTAGACCTCTCTTCGGCTGGCACTACAGCAATCGCTGACCACCAAAACACACATGACACCATATAGAATCCATCCACTGTCGGGACACGAACCCCATAACTTCCCGGCCAGAGGTTCTGCAGCGATATCAATTGATGCCCTGAGCCACCTAAGCCGGTAAAGTACATTACGAGTTTCTAACTGCAATAACAATTTCCCAACTCGAATAGGCAGGGCCGGGTCACAAGAAGCAAAACAAGCACACGCTCTACTACAGGCTCTCGTGAGCATCTTTTTATTTTTTATATTTGTTTTTACATTTGATAAAAATTTCTCCTTTACGAACTATCTAAATAATACCATTTTATTGTAATCATCTGCCCCGACCTTTTTCTTACCCGAAAATATTAAGGGACCGCAACGGGCGAGTTCAATGCTTGCGGCCCCAAGACGGTACAGACAACAAGGGCTTGCCGGAACGCGAAGGATCGACGTTTCGGTGCCTAGGAAATAATTATTAAATTATATTATAAACATAGAACTATTTCTATTAAATTAACAAATAATTCGTTTTGGGAACTACAATTTTATAAACCAAGCACTGTAGATAACTATTTAAAAACATAAACGGCAGATGGTCAGTGCGTATTATTGAATAGGTCTAATGCACAATACGGACACTCGGCAGTTCATATGTACAAGCTCATTTTCGGTTAAGATAATTCTGAATTTTATGCCCATAGACCTGTCAATTTACAGCGTTTGCCTGATCTTGGGATCTAATAAGACATTTTGTGCCATTTATTATTAATGTAAAGGCAGGAAACTGTTTTATTAATATTCTATAATAATTTTCTCGAATTTGACAACAGGGAGTTCTTAATTATTTTAGTAAATAAATCAATCATTGATAACAGTTTGCATATTAAAGATAAAATTCATATCTCCTCTCCTGTAGAAAAGCAGCTAACTAAAAAAATTAAATACTATCACCGTTTCTAACTAAAAAATCTTTTATACAAGCAAGTAGAAAATTATATTATTAGATTTTAATTTCTTATATCAATACGATAATATAACTAGCAATTGCACTGGTACACAAAACCTCTTTGAGACATTCACTTACGAACCCCTACTGTAGTTTGCTATGCAACCCGTTATACTCTCCTGTATGTAAGTTTTCCAGCCCCTTTCTTGCTATATCTTATTTGGGTCTTAGTTTTAAAAAACCCTACTATTATTACGCTTTTTTCGTTTCTGAAAGCATAGATAACTTTAAATGTTCTTAGAAAATGACTGCAACAGTTCAGTAATTTATGTTAGTGCTTATTAACAAAAAAATATTGAAGCACGTAGTAATATAATGACCTTGGAATTTGTTTCAATTTCAGATAATGTTCATGCTGTATAATCCTTTGTATGGTATATCATTCACAAAGGAAATACGACGGTCTTTGTACGGTCTTTATACGAAACCATCCACACAAAACCTGTAAGTGTACTTTTAGTAGATAGGGAATTACACATCACTCCTGCATTCAAACAGATTTGAAATATATATTAAGTTTGCAGTTTAAGACATACAAAATAGATTATTGCAACAACATACATTATAATCTTGTGGAACTCGGAAACAACGCGTCCTTCAGCAATGGGAAGTACCGTTGGGACAAGTTTCGGAGGACATGTGAGTTCTAAGGGGTCGCGGTTTCGGGGGAGTGATAGGGTCGTTTTAACAGCTTTGGGCGTCCTTGGGCCTACGTAAATTTGAGGTCCCTCATTCTTACTTTCACCATTCCCCCCTCCCCAATTGAAAGATTTGTCGAAGGAAAAAAAGAAGAAAAAACAAGAAACAACTAAACTTGTCAACACTGAGTGGCATTCTCGCGGCAAGCAGCAACATTCCGTATTATAAATATTATCGAATGGTGCGCGACACATCACTCCGCTATAACAATTCCTTGCCTAATTAAATCATACATCACTTTTTATATGAATTTTTGTTTTATTTTTGGAATAATTTAATATTAAATAATCGTTTTGAGAATTATCGGGGGCCGTGCGTTAACATGGGGCTGGGGACAGATGGGAGATAGCGGACGACAGCTGCCGACGGGCGCTGCACCTGGACTTGCTGTTGGCAGGCGGCGGCTGCACTTCGGGGCGGCGGCGGCGCCAGCGTCGGCGTCGGCGTCGCCGCGGCCTCCGCGCTCGTCCGGAGCGGCGGCGGCGACAGAGATCGGCGGCCGCGGGCCGGCGGCGGCGGGCCCCGAGGCGGGCGCCGAGTAGGCCGGCCGTGAGCGGGCGGCTGTCAGGCCGAGCGCAGGTCGAGGAACGGCGCTCGGGGCGCACCTCGGCTGACGCGGACGCGTGGCGCGTGGCGGCGGTCGGCGCGAGCGCGGTCACCAACCAGCATCGAGCGGTCCAGCGGTCGGAGGAGCCGCGCGCCCTCGAGTCGCGGGCGCGGCCCCCCTCCGCCGGCCCCGCGCCGCCGCCCAGCGCCCCCGGCCCGCGCCCGGCCCCTGTATCCGCGCCCCGGCCCCGACCCCGCCGCGCCCGCCGTCCGGAGCTCCAGCTCCGCCACGGCCGACGCCGAGGCCGCCGCCAGCGGGTCGCGCGAGTGCGTCGCCATAAAACGGTGGATCACCGCCAGGTGGCTCACGGTCTGCGCCGCCAGCTCCTCCAGCTTCCGGATGCGGAACTCCACGCTCTGGATGGCCGTCGTCTGCGCGTTCTCCTTCTGGTTGATGTCCTCCACCTACAACCAATTCACCACTCAAGTCACGTGCTTCCGTTTCACGAACCCTTTCGGAGTCTCACCAGCAACGCGTATGTGCGCAGTTGCTTCTGGGGTAGTAGCAAAGCTGCTGCATACGCGCGTTCGCCGAAGCTCCAGAAATCACGCTTTAAAAGAGAGCTTTTTGACGAACAATTTCGGGAGCTTTAGCGAATGGGATCCGCGGAGGGGGCTCCGTCAACAAGTACCTGTACATCACAGCTCATGCAAATCTACGGATTGGCATTAAGTAACCTCAACCGCAGCATTGCGTAGGTAGGGAAAGGGATTTGGAGGCTCATCCATGATTATTTGTTTCACTTTTTATAGGTTTCAATGTTTTTACGAAGCTGTAAATCATTGATATTCTTTATACGATATGATTTTTGGTGAAAATACTGTGCAATTTATTACAAGTGTTTGTTAACTTTTTTTGTTATTACAGAATCTTTGGTTCACATATTGCGATTATACGTTGGTCTTTATTCAACATAAACATAGGTTTTGACAGCATTAAATATAAATATTGATGCAAGAAAGTTGATAGTTTTGGATGTGCAGATCACGAAATGGAAAATTACAGATTACAGAATGTAAGATTACAGAAAAAAACAACAACTGAAAACGTGAAAAGAAATTGGTTATGTGGCTTTAATTGCCTATTAAAAGTATTATGAAATACTCGCCAGAAGTCAAAAGTATCGGAAAGAAGAATTGTTTCTAGTTAATAAAGCAACTGAGTTTTTAATCTTTATTGTGGCCAAATCTGATTTTGCTATACCAAATAACGAACAGGAATTTATATAAAGTATTTAAGAAGGTATAGGTTTGAAGTTTTGTTCATAAAATAAGGAGTGGGAAGCAAGAAAAGGCGGGAGTTAATGGAATTCATGTTACTCATACGAATAAATCATGTTACAAAGCAACAAGTGTTACATGTTTACAAGAAACAATTGCTTCAATGGTCGAATAAGTTATTGTGTGTATCCGCATTGTTAGAACTTAAAATATATAAATGTTCAAGTATAATAAACTAATGAAATATTGAAAGACTTTATCTACCACAAGAAAATTGCCAAAAAATTCTGTGTAGGGGGTAACAAAAACTATTTACAGAAATGTCAGTCATTTCTCAATTAACACCACAACACTGTGGTGGCATTGTCTTAATACCTATATATTGATTTAATAGTTATTCCCAATAAGTATAGTTTTCAATAAAGATTAACAGTAGATTAGATAATTTACCTCTAATTATTGTGAACATTTTCCCTTTCTGATGCCATTAATACAATTTAATGAAATGAGAAATATTAATCTCCAAATGTTTTTTACACTTAAGTTCTAAACATTAAGTATATAACTTTTTAGTGGGAGATAAATATATTTTCTTAATACATAAAAATGTTTGTATTTTTACATGTTCCACAAAAACTTTTGAACCACTGAAGCAATTGCTTCTCAATTTTGAACACACACTGAGCAGCAAATAAAAATTTACCTAGTTATCTATTTTTAAGTTTCTTTTAATGAAACTAATGCTCGTAATTTCACTACGAGGTTGATTATATTAGAATGGTATCCTGAAATTTTAAGACAATATGTAAATGAGTACTGATTGTCTAAAAATATTAAGATACCATTAAAAAAAGAAAACCTGAGGATATTCATAAACCCAAAATGTCATACTAAAGTATGTTTGGTTACATTTTCAAATATGTTAGTAGAAATCAGTAACATGAAATATTGTTGTCAGGCAGTAGCATTTTTCTAGACATTGCTGGACAAGGCCAATCGGGGCCAGGTAAGGTAGAGATAATATAAACACTAATAATCTTTCTGTACAAGAACATTTTCTAGACATTAAATTTACAATGAAACTTTTCAAAACCATTAAATTATGTGACTTATAAGTTATTTTATATGAAATGATGATTTTGATAATTACAGTTTTGTCACTAAAACATTTGTGATGTAGTCTTTTTCTGAAATTATATGAAACCAAAATATTCTTTAGCAGTTGAGAAAGGACAGAAATATTCATTCTCTCTGAATGATTGAAAGCAATCAAACATTTTATACAGTTAAATCTCACCCAAAATGAACGCACTGCCTATTGCTTTCAAAATCATCAGCATATTTTCTAGAGACTATATTATTTCTAAGAGCAAAATGTCAATCGATTTACTTTTAGAACTCACTAGAGTCATAGAGAACTAAGTAGAGCCTTTTGTGGGAGTTATGAGAATGATAAGATGTAAGAATTATAAATGAGAATGAAAATAAGATCATGTAAATTAATTATCTGAATGAAATAGAGAATACAAATCAGATTATTATTACCTTTTGGTACATATTTTCCACTCTTTCACAAGTACATCTAATGCGTTCCTCGCTAGACATTGCCAGTTTGGAACTTTGCTCACGGAAATACCCTTCAACACACTCTTCTTCAAAATCGTACAGTCTCTCCATATCATCCGCATCAAGAAAGAGCTTCAATGCATTGTCATAAGTTTCTGTGTTTGTTCCTTGACCTTGAGCCTTCCGACGACAATACTTAAACAAAATAGCAGCATGACATAATGCGATCAATGGTGGTGGCAACACTGGCTTCTGCTCGTATTCCATAACAACTGTAAATCGTTGGAACATCCAAACTTGATGTGAAACAGCATTGACTTCATTGAAAATATTGTTAAAGACTGCAATCAAAAGATTTATAAGAAGAATATTGGCTACTAGCAGGTACATTGACATTACAACAGGTGTAATCCATCTTCCCATTTGGCAGCGTGCTTGATCTGGTCCTTCTCCACATGCTGGGTCAATGTCTGTGGCAAACACCTCACCATACAGCATGAAATAGGGCTGAAAAAATATTTCACGCACTAGCATCCATGAAGCGTCACTGTCAGGATACAAAATTGCTTGTCGGCATACTCCAAAACTCATCAACACCACTAGCAACAACACCACAAAGTATATCATATTCTTCACCATTTTCCCCATCATTGTGACCAGTGGTCCCAAATACTTGTTGACACCCAGGATATTGAGGATCCGTAAGTACCAATAGATGATGTCTACGCAAAAGATGATGCGCCCTATCTTCATTGAACTGTCGCGTACTCGCAAACTAAGTCCAATCAGAAAAAAGATGATTGCTGCAGCATCGCAAGGATTCCACATATTCCATGCCCAAACAGCAAATTTGTGACTGTAAAAAGAATAAATAGTAGACCACATGGAAAATATATAAAATACCAGCATTTCTTTATGAGCATCATGATTATTTTTCTCAAGATACTGATAAAATACTTTTTTATTAACATAATTAAAAATTATAATTACAAATACTGGAAGGATATACAACACTCAAATTAATTAAAAAAGTATCGTTGGTTGGTTTTCAAGACACACTTATTAGAGTTAATACCAAAAAATTGTAATTTAAGAAATCATGTGTTATATCTCCAAGACATAAATGACCAAATTTGTAAATATTTAGGGTTTAAGAAAGTATATTATATGTTATTTCCATAGTTGTTAGAGAGAGAGAAAAACCAACAATTGACTAACATTGATTCATAGTCTTTGGCTTGCTCAGCAGCACAGAAAGTAATTAGTTTAGAATGCTAGTAATTAGAATATTAGAACTGGAAATGGTTCCTTTTGTGAATTTTATGTCAATGAGCAGTTTGTGTAGCAAGGTGGAAAGTGACATCTTTCAGGCAGAAATAAAGAATTCCTTTTTTGATAATGTTATTGCTAAGATGAGGAATAATCAGCTACCAATTGACTGATGTAAGCCAGATGTTGATTTTTTGTTATTTGTGATGAAAACTACTATTTCTTTCTTTAGTATCCCATTTGAAATTACAGTTTGTCATCAACTTTGGAGAACGTAATCCAAGTGAACTGCTGCTATGACCCTGTCATACTAGATATTTATATATAATGATAGTCAATGTTTATATTTAACACTAGAATGCTCAGATTACCAATACCCCCTAGAACACCCAGCAGAGTCGCTTCAACTTCGAGCCTTCATTAAAACTTCTTAGAAGGAATTATTGCAATAGCATCACTCTTTACGACTACAACATTATCAAAAATAATTATTTAGTATATAATAGCTATATTACGTCATGACTTGAATATTTTTTAAACATTAATTGAAATTTCTATTCCATGGAATAGGAAGAAAGAAACCTCTTGAATGGGATGTGCAAGTAAACAGTCAAAAATATTTGTTGAAAAGTAAATTTTAATCTATAAATAATATTGTTGTAACAATAATAAGAAAAATGTTATAAACATCTAATTTTAATTAATACTGGTGTCATATTTGACACAGAAACGTATTTTCTCTGCATTGCACATCCTATACTGTCTAGCAATATGCCAAATTTATTTGACATTTTTTTCCATTATGTTTGTTACACAGTGATAGGAACTTCATGTGTAGTGTCCGTGTGTGTAGGGCGTCGTACGTGTGTGTATGTACGTGTGTGTACGTGTACGTGTGTGTACGTTAGTGTGTACGGTGTACGTGTCGTGTGTCGGTGGTACGTGTGTGTACGTGTACGTGTGTGTACGTGTACGTGTGTGTACGTGTACGTGTGGTAACGTGTACGTGTGTGTACGTGTACGTGTGGTTACGTGTACGATGACGTGTACGTGACGTGTACGTGTAAGTACGCTGTACGTACGTGTACGTGTGTGTACGTGTACGTGTACGTGTACGTACGTTACGTGTACTACGTGTTAGTATATCGTGTACGTAGTGACGTGTACGTGTAGCACGTGTACGTGTACGTGTGTGTACAGCTGTACGTTACGTGTGTGTGTACGTGTACGTAACGTACGACGATGTACGGTGTACGTACATACGTACGGTGTACGTGTACGTAACGTGTACTACGTGTACGTGACGTGTGTGTACGTGGTACGGTACGTTACGTGTACGTGTACGTACCGTACACGTGTACGTGTACGTGTGGTACGTGTACGTGTGTGTACGTGTTACGTGTTACGTAGGTGTGTAACGTGACTACGTACGGTACTGTACGTAGTGTAGTGTACGTCGTTACGTGTACGTACGTGCTACGTAGTACGTACTGTACGTGTAGTACGTGTATGTACGTACGTGTACGTGTACGTGTAGTGTACGTGTACGTGTTGTGTACGTGTACGTGTGTGTACGTGTTAAACGTGCACGTAGTGTACGTGTAGTGTACGTGTACGTGTACGTACGTGTACGTGTACGTGTACGTGTACGTTACGTGTACGACGTGTATGTACTACTGTACGTAACTGTACGTTAGTGTACGTACGTGTACGTGTAGACGTACGTGTACGTGACGTACGTGTACGTGTACGTGTACGTGTACTGTGTACGTACGTGTACGTACGTGTACGGTGTACACGTGTACGACGTTACGTACGTGTACGTACGTGTACGTACGTGTTACTACGTGTACGTACGTGTACGTACGTTCGTACGTGTACGTAACGTGTACTACGTTACGTACGTGTATACGTACGTAGTGACGTACGATGTACGTACGGGTCGTACGTGACGTGTACGTACGTGTACGTAACGTGTACGTTACGGTTAGCGTACATGTACGTTACGTGTACGTACGATGTACGTACGTTGTACGTCACGATGTAGTACGTTAGTACTTGTACGTAAGTGTACGTACGTGTACGTACGTGGTACGTGCACGTCGTGTACACGTATACGTACACGTATACGTACACGTATACGTACCACGTATACGTACACCGTATACGTACACGATACGTACACGTATACGTACACGTATACCGTAACCGTCTACGTAACACGTAGTACACGTACGTAACGTACGTACACTATACGTACGCGTGCGTGCGTGCGTGCGTGGCGTGTGTGTTGTGTGTGTGTGTGTGTGTGGTGGTCGTGTGTGTGTGTGTGTGCCCGCGCATGTTAAAACGATGGTTCTAAAAGAAACGTTATCCATTTCAAATAGCAAGAAGTTCTTATATTTTCTTTGGAAATTACTGTCTAAATTATTACCTTTACTGGGCATATACAGCATAAATGTAGTTTGTAGATGAAAAATGGCAAATACTTGTGCAGATCACTGTTTTAAAGTATATTTTGTAGAATACTATGCAAATTCTATCAAAACCTGATGTGTGGTTAATGGCTACATTTTCCAGACATTTCTTCTCGTTCATTCACGTTCTTTCCCAATATTTCCAGTGCAGGGAAAACATTGGCATGCACCATTTTAGTGATCACACTTACTTGCTGCTTTTGTTTAGTTTTCGTACCATGAACTGTGTAAATACAAGTTTGGAAGGAAAATGCCGGCATATCATCTCTAATCCTATGTCGCATTTTGTGTTTATTGTTGGTAAAGGTATCGCTTCCTACAAAAACAAAATAATTTTGCAGTTGAAAGTAGTGAAATCTGCTGGTGATTTCTTTTTGAACTCCCTCTTTTAATTTGAAAACCATAAAACAAGACAATGTCTAAAAAAACGAAGTATGTCTGACCTTATCATTGTCATCTGGAGTCCAAAATACCCCCCTATTTACGAAAATTATCTTTTAAACTCAAAAATCAATTTTTTCTGAGTTATTTGAACAAATATTTTATTCATTCAGCCTTTATATGATAACAACACTAATCCTTCATGTGATATTAATTTCGCTTTCCAAAAATTTGGGCACTTATTGAACAAGAGGGATTAAAAATAGAGGAAACTCCAAGGAATGCTCTCATATTCCATCTGAATGTATCCAAAATATAGGAAAGACATTTAAAAATGTTCAGTGTTGAAATGTATGAAACAAAAACTACTGGATAGGGACAGTACAGAATGAATTGAAATGATGCTTCCCGAGCATTTGAGGTAAATTCGATTATTATTCATGAAATATATTATTTACACTATTCAATTTTTAACATACTGTAAATAAATAAATATGATAAAAATACATGAAACCAGAAAATTCTATCTTCAGAGACAAAGAAGATACAAAGGCAAAAAGAACGTCAAGAGTCGAAATGATGCCACTGGGTATTCTAGTGTTAATGAATTGTTGCGGTAATAGTAAATTATTCTTGTTGTGCTTGAAAGTAAATTGTATGTTCCACAAGGTTCCATGGAAGGAAACAAATGACATTTATTGTCTTATTTTCGTTGAGATAGATGACGGTCATGATTTACAAAAAAGTCATATTTATTGAAATGTGTAACTGAAAAATTATTAGAATGTGTGTGTTTTGTAATGTCTCTGTATGCAACATATGGGGAGAAATTGAGACACATAGATGGGTAGATATAAAGTTACAGAAAGGAACTCGAGAAATGGACAAATTGTTGCTCAAGTATAACTTAAGAAAATAAATTTATTTTAATTTTATTTAGAGGTAAAAAATAATTCTTTGTTACGAGGAATTATTTTCATTTGAAAAGAGTCAACAAATGATATGCTTGTGAGATATAACCTATAATTTCATTGATTTACAATTTAATTATTGTAATTTGTATGTCCTGCAAGTTTCAGTTAAATCATTTAGAAAATGTAATATTTAGAGTAGACAAAAGGGTATGCGATTACATAGGAAACACTTATACCTGACAGCCACTGGTTCAGAGGAAACAATTTCACGAACTTTCTCACATGCCAACGTACAGATATATGCAATGATGTATAATTCTTGCCATGAAGGTACTGGCCCCATCTTCACCAACACTACATAAGTGAACATTATCAGGAACAAGACGTAGGCCATCTGTAATAATATAATAAATAAGACAACACTGTCAGGGCTTTGAGAGAAAAAAACAAAACAAAACAAAACCACACACACTGAGGTATTTATTGAAGTCTATAGTGGTCACTAAAATTTCTAGTGTTTTGTAATGATTAATTATTAACATAATTATTTTGAAAAATATTAAATATTTCTCTAATACATAAGGGAAATCCAAATGTTTCTTAATTACCATATTTTACTGTCTATACGACACACTTTTCTCTTCGATAAATTACCTCTGAACTTCAGATGCATCTTATAATTGAAATTCAAATAAAAACACTCAGTGTTTGATTAAAAATTCCTGTCAGTTTTAAAAATGGCCATATTGTTGATGCCATGGGAAAAAAATCTCTATCTATTGGATTCAACTAGCAGCAGCAGAGCACGATGCAAGTGCTTGCATGCAGCACAAGCTTGCTGACACTGTGTCCCTACCGCTCCCTAACACTGTCTCCCTACCGCACTGCCATCACAAACCTAGAACACTGTTTAGCCTATGATGCATCTCTGCAGTCTATGGTGCCAGTGAACTTGAATACAAAATGATTTGTGTTATTGGCAACAGTCAATATTTTTGTGAGTAGCTAATTCCGCATTGGAAAAAAATAAAAGATATTCATATGATGCAGGCTATTAATTTCTATATATAAATTGTAAAATTTTCTACTTTAACTAAACATTTTGTCCTCACAGGTATAAAACAAGCTCAAATGTAAATTCAGAAAAATGAAAAACACGCTATGAACAAGTAGATATATTTTTAGTGTTGAATGTACATTTCTTTAACATGGATACTAATAAAAAGTGAATAGAATGCTCAATTTTACTTACCGAATGAGCCCAGAATTTTGTAATGGGAGCTGTGAAAAATTCATAGAACTTCTTACGCAACCTCAAAGGTCGATGAGCTTTGATGTCATATAATGGGAACAGTTGATTATAGGACTCTCCTTCCACTAATACACTGCCGTTCTCTTGCACCACTGTCTCCTTTCGAGGTCCTCCTTCTCCAATCAGCGCCTGTGCAAAGATCTTTCTCAGTATTTGTTCTTTATTCAATAATTTCCCCTCAAATAGTAAGGAAATATTTCTTTCTTAGGTCTTCGTTTTGCAGCAGAGAAGGAGAATAATAAGCATATCTTCCTTACAGTATTGTATAACATTCAGCTGACCACCAAGAATAAAACTCTATTCAAAAGTAACACAAGTATCAAATATATGTTGTAAAATACATTATTTTGACAAATTTTAAAAATATGTCACACTTCAAGTGCAAAATGTCTTTTCTAAAATAGTTATATACATTTAACATTATCATACTACACATCTAATTCAAATTTTAATACCTTTAATATGCAGTTTTTAAAACACTTATTACAATAATTAAAATCAACAAATCATTGTCTACATGATATTTTGTAGGACAACGGTATTTTCAGATCTTTAAAGACAAACAAAACACTCATTCATTTTAAAACAGAAATAATTTATTATAAGAAAATGCCCTAAAAACACAAATGTTTCATGACAGAATACAGCCACATCATCAGGTAGTGTGAAATCAATCCATTAAAATAATTAAAAGTTACTTTATTCATAAAATTTGAAATAAAAATGCAAAACTAAGTAAGATTTAAAATTAGAATTAAAAATGAAGAGTTAATACAACAAGACCTGTAGGAACGCAATAAAAACACAATGGAATATAAATAAGAAGTACAAGTCTTAATTGAGACAAATAACAAAAATATTTATAAGAAAAACCACACATATTCAGAAAGTCACATACTAGAAAACTTAGTCAACTAAAACAAACAAATAAGACTCTATTAAGAGCCAGTCAAAGATTGACCTCCAACATGAAAATTAGAAAGCCAAATGAAGGATCCCAAGGCACAAAATGTATTAGTGATGGGCTTAGAGAAGAGGGGGTAAAAAGAGTAAAGAAAGGGGGAGTGAGTGGAAAGTAAGGCCCACAAGAACAGGAAAGAGAAAGAAAAGAGAAACAAAAGAAGAAAAGAATGAACACAGAGGACAATCTACTTTTTGTACACTGGAACATAATTGAATGTTGACCAACACTGTCACTCCAGTGAATAAAAAAAGAGATTGTCCCCTGTGTTCATTCTTTTTCTTATCTTTGTTTTTCCCTTGCCCTTGTTTTCCTGCACCCCTTTCCCTTTCTTGCTCTTTATATCCCTATCCTCCTGGCTCTCCTCACTTTTACATTTTTTACTTTGGGGCTCTTTCATTTGACTTTCTGATTTTGATGGTGGAGATCGACCTCTGACTGGCTCTTATCTAAGTATTCTTTTGCTTTAATTGTCTGTTTTTCAAACTTTATTAATACACATGTTTTTTCTTATAAATATTTTTTTGTCTCGGGTAAGACTTGTGCTTCGCATTTATAAATTTACATATCATTTGTGTTTTTATTGTATTCCTACAATTCTCGTTTTGGATATTGTCTTTAACTTTTAATTCCAATTATAAACCTTACTTTGCTTTTGCATTTTCATTTCAAATTTTATTAGTAAAGTAACTGTTTAATTGTTACAACGGCTTGACTTCAGACTACCTGATGATATGGCCATAATGCATTATGAATTATTGTTGTTTTTAGTGCATTTGCTTATATAATATAAAATATTTTTTTCTCTTTAAAATGAATGAGTGTTTTGACTATCTCTAAATTTCCTGAGCATACCAGTGTCATCTAATTTATTATGATAATTTATAACAATAACACATATTTATTTACATTGATGACAACATATTTGTGCAGTTTATTAACACACACAATATTCACAAAACACAAATATTATAATTGAGAAACAAAAACATTATAAGGTTGACAAAAAAGTTTATCCAAATAGAAGAATGGTTTCTAAACTACAAATATATTTTGTTTGAAACTATAAAAAGAAGTGAAAATAAACTTTCCGTCATAGAATGAGAATGTAGACTATGAACCAAACACATGAGGTATGCAGAACAGGATAGAGTAATGGAAGTAAAGAAGCTTGAATGGAGAATTAAAGGAGCTGCGTATCAATTTTTCTTCATCTTAAAAGTAAAGAATTTTGAAAGAAAAATAATCAAACTGCCTAACTCTGAAAATTGTAAATAACAAATTTTTTGAAGATTGTATTACAAAATCAACTAATTGAAGGGCTTTATTGGTATCTGACTACACTGGATCACAAATCACTTAAAGAGCACTCTAAACAAGACAGAATAACTATAAGCTTCTCTAATCAGCTAAGAATTTACTATAAAACCTACAAAAAAATAACACTCTGTTCTACATTATCACTGCGCTAAGCATCTTATTGAAATTACATTACTTGCAAATATCAATTTAACAATCCACTTAAAGCAGAATAAGGAAAAGTCTTAAGCATATTACCCAGATCACAATTCCAGTGCTCCAGTGTAGTCGCGTTTACAAGCTGTTTTGGAAAGGATACAACTAACATGCCAGCAGTGAAAGAGCGCCTACGAGGTGGAAAAACTACATAGCTTTTCTGCAAGAGAGGTTCGGAAGCAGTATGTTACACAACACTCAATACAGCTTTACTACCTGAACGCAGGGTTGACTCGCCTTTCTCCTGACGCTAAAGTTTCTGGGCTTCTTCTAAAAGAAACGTCGCATTTGAGTGATTCCAGCAGAAAATCAAAAGAGCAACAAAATACAAATGTCAAATGAAACATGATGCAGCATATTACATATTGTATGCATCTAATTTACCATATAAATTGCCAAATTTATTAAGATATTCCACACTTTACTAATACAAAGGCAGTATTAGTCATGCGCAAGACCTAGAATTTTTCTAAGTTCTTCATGCTCAAAACACTTTACTACTGTCCACTACTCTTTTAATCTACTAGAGCTTAATAGTACAATGTCAAACCTATTTACAAAGCATCAATTTTAAAAATTTATTATAGCAACTCGAGCTATTTGGGTGCTTTTAAAATTGCTCTGTAAATTTATGCAAAGCAAAATTGAAACTTTTAAAGTTTTATAATATAGTGTTTTATAAGATTGATAAATAGAAAGTACATTTTATAATCAGCCAAAGGTGCACTTCAAGTCTGAGCTTAGTGGAACCTACAAGAAAAGATACCCAACTGACATTGCATTCCACAGCCCAGTACTACTCACTTGAATACACCAGCTTAATAGATAAAAAATTGAAATACATAAAAAATGAAAGCTTCAATAAAGAAATCTCTTCTAAAGAGAGATACTTTGTAGCATTATATTATTTACAAAACTGTACAAAATCAGACACTATGCAATAAGATTTTTAATAGATGGAGACCCCAAAATGTTTGTGCATCTGTGCAAGAGATCATTCTCTGACAACAGCTGATGGCAAACTCTTTAGTCAGTCTACATCATGCTGACACCCCTACTTTACTCTCATAACTTTCCAATATTAAAGCAATTTTATTAGAGCACATCCCACAATGGGCTATACATGCTATTAGGGTGCCATCTCCAACAATACTGACTGCTGACTGCTATTGTTAAGGAATGTTTTTGACCAGAAAACAACCAACAGAACAAATTAACCGTATGCAAAGGATTGGTGTACTCCACCCAAAACTTGAGTAGTTTTTATGTATTTCTGATGTTCATAACACACACAAAAGTTTTAAAGCAGCAAAAAATTAGGGCCATGTTTATATATAATGAGATCGACCCCAAAAAATACCACTTGAACAATATTGAACTGAAAATTTAAATTTTGAGTTTACTCTTTTCCACCATTAATAGAAAGTTACAATATTGTTGGAAGTAGCAACAAAAGCCAAAAGAACTTCCTAAAAAGGAGATCACTTACCTCTGCATCAGGGTCTGAGCCACGGGGGCCATCACCAGTGCCTGTTTCAGCACTTTCATTCTCCTCTAGTTCAAACAAATGCTCCTCGTGGGTTTGTGGCATCAGAAGTAATTCTTCTTTTGTCTTGAAATCAAGTCTTGTGACATAGAGAGGACACAGCAGACCCAGAACCACCTGTGTATGTAAACCAGTTATGTCTCTTTAAACTTCAACTAAATCATGCAAACACCCCATTTTTCATTACAATTCAAAAATTTGTCAATATATTTTTTTTATGAACAAAATTTTCCTTATAACTAGAGATAATTTTATGTGTACTTGGATTTATTTATGCTCAAAAGCTAGAACAAAAAGACCTTTAAAAGTGATCATAAAATGTTTATCACTAACTCCAGAAGTGGAAAGCCTAAAGGCAATTCCTTATGACTAGTATGCAAGTCACGAGATTGATCCTGGCGAGCTGCCAAAAATTACCATATTATCTTTAACATCAGTAGTTTGTGGCACCAGCCAGAATAAATCAGAAGGTAACTGCTTCAATAATTTGTTTGTGTATTTTCCCTGATCACTTTCAGATGAGTGATGGAGCAACACCCTTATCAAGGGCAATGATCCTGAACAATCTGTCCTTCAGACCATTATCATCATTCCATCAACACACCCAGCACAATCTGGTTTACTATGAGGGAGTGTATCTCTTCTCGCCCACCCTGTCATAATTGCCATACATTAGGGAGGTCTTGTGGATGCTACAACTGTGCGGATAAAAACTGATTATTAGGAAAAGTGACCTCTAATGCTATTGAAAAGGACTTTGCAACACTTGAGGGGAAAAAAAGCACTGCAACACTATGGAAAAGAGCCCTGCATCAATATAAACAAGGGCTCTCCTATGCTGTGGAAGCTACAACAATGTGAAAAAGGCCCTACAACGCTATGAAGTATCCTACAATAGTAAGGAAAAAGACTCTTCAATGCTAGAGGAAAGTCCCTGCAATGCTAGAGAAAAGTCCCTACAATGTTAGGGAAAAGAATATGAAATAATGTTTATTTCTGTAATATTATGCCTTGTGTAAATTATTTACAACAATCAATACATGGCTTATAATGGGTTTTATCAGTAGCATAATGGAATGAGTGTGGGCCCACCCACAAAACTTTTGCCCGGTCCCCTTTTTTAAAAGTGTAGAGCAAATGTGTGCGTTAGTAAAAGTGTAGTGTTAGTACCATAAATACTAAAAATATCCCCTAAATTAGGCCCTTTTACCTGGGCCTGTCTGCGTTGCAAGCCTTGCAGGCCCAAGTGTTACACCACTAGATTTTATACTTCATGATAGTTTTATGTAATTACTACAAATTTGAGAAAAAGTTAGTGATATTTGGAAGCAACACAACCTAATTTTCATGTTTTAGGTATGGAAATGATATATAAAATTTTAGAATTTATCAAAGACATTAATTACACAGTTAGTGAAATCACAGATAAATGAGATTTAATTAATTCTTATTAGTAATATTTGAAGCAAGAGTTCACCTTCAGGTTTGTGTTTTTCCTTGTGCGTAATCCACCCATCCAAAGATCAGCCAGAATAGTTTGACTACATGCATGAGCTAGAAGAGCACGGTGATTTGCTGCCACAGCTAAGCTCAGGCAGGTTTGTGCACTCCAGTTTTGTAGTTCACAGGTAAGTAACTGGCGCGCTTGGTCATCATCTTGCCGATAACAGTAGTCCAGAAGCTCTAATGCTACAATGAACATAAATTCACTATTATTTCTATGCAACAAGCGAATGAAAGAATGAAAACTTGAAGAGAAAATTAATAACAATGGGTTTGAATAAAAACAACTTTTTAAATTCATTTTACTTTGAGTCATTTTTAAATCAAGGTCATTTACAATTTCTGAACTTTAGGTTCTTATTGTACATTTTATATTTCTAAAAAAAAAAAAGTTTTATTGTATTCATAAATTAAATTTCCTTGGCATTAGAAGTTATTAGTTTTTCCAAGAAAAGAAATATGCTCACCAATAGTTTCAAATTCTTTGCTGTAAGAACGCAGTTCTTCATATATTTCAGTCTCTAAGTCATCTTCAGCTGCTTCTTGTGCCATTGCTTTGTAAAGCTTACAGGCCACCAAGGCCTTAGCCAGGGCCTCCTCTCCATGCTGCCACATCAGCAGAGCCATCGCTTGTCGTTTCGTCAGCACTGACCAGATCTGTACAAAAGTTCAGTTTCCTTAACCTCAAAACATTACTAGTATGAATTATTATTTTTACAGATGACTTCACCATATAACAATTTCAATGTACAAATATACACAGACAATGTTGTGGTAAATGTAAAGTAACGAGGTGAAATTAACCCCAAACTAAAAATAAACCAGAAATTTGATACATCAAATTGTTTAGTTTTGGCAGTAATATACATGAATTCCATGTTATTTGAATAAGAGACTTTTCTCTGATGAAAGTCTTCTAAAAATCAAAATATCTTTTAATGGAATCTTCTGTTGAATAAATGCTGGTTAGTACTTTTATAATGCCCTTTGGCTGATGATAACACGTGCATAAGATTTTAATGATGAATTAATACTTTTAATCTAAATTCATTTGATCAAGATAAGAAATTCTGTTTTTGTTTTTTTAAGCATGCCCAACTTTACATGCTGCATTCACTATTGAATACTATGCAGAATTCATGCAAAAATTTGTAACAAACAATACCATATTTCTATCAAATACTAATAGTATTAAGTAAATGTAAGCATGTGCAATAGGCCAGATATGCTCTTGTTTTTCCACAAAGGGTGATTTTGTTTTTTCATACATGAACCATTTCATGATGCTCATACACATTTTATGCAATTCACATACAATGCATGTATGAGTGTGGGATTTGAAAATAAGCTTTAGCATGATTCATGTTATCTTATTGTGCATAAACTGACCTTTATCTTCAGCTTATTCCATAGCATGAGGAAGTACAGCTCAGTCACATTTTTTTGTAAGACCATTGAATTAAGAACTTAAAAATATTTAAGATAGAAATATACTAGCAACATAATAAGAACTCCACAACAAGTTGATATTTAAAATACAAAAATTGATGTATATAATAAACATATGATGTCATAAAACTTACAATTCTCACAAGATTTAACTAGATATCTCGATAATGTATAGTATGTCTCTTGTTTGCACTAAAGCACTTAACTAATTTATTCTGAATAGGATATATGGCAAAACTGATGATTTTGATATGACTGACTTTGATGTTTTTAAATAAACTTAATCTGAGAACTCATTAACTTTGAACAGTTAATATTCACAGAAGAAAAAGTTCATGCGTTCATACTAAACATGTTTAATATGAAAATCTTATTCTCTGTACTACAAAATACTTGCTTCTGGGAAGCCAGAAGAAAACATACAATACATCACTGGTACAATGGAAACAAACCTTTTAACTAGAGATTCATTTAATAGTTAATCCAAACTTACCAAGAGTTCGTTGAAGGGGAATTCAAACAAAGAAGCATCTTTAGTGGTGGGCATAGTCTCTGCCAAAAGACTCATTGTGAGGTTTGTGTTTCCATAATAGCGAATAAAGGATGCACTATTACGATGTACATGAGGAGACTTCTTCATTACTTTGGCATAGATAACTCTGAATTTCCGCCTTGTATAAGGAGCTCTGCAATAAGTTCATTAAATTTATAATGAATATTTATTGTTGTAAATGAATCAAGTTTGCCTCAACAAAGGAATATGTTTCATGTTTAATTGACAATTAAGCAAAAGTGTGCAACATATGAATAAAAAAACATGACTTGCCTGTAGGCTCCACCCATCAATTTATTAATTACAAGGCCAATGTCATGCAAAGTGTATACATAACCTCTAGGAATGTGTGGACGCACATCACGGAGTATATAGGTTAATGTATTTGCAGGTCCCTGTTTCTGAAAGTGAGATATAACTTATTTATTAATTGACAACAATTACCAATAATTATCTGAAACTATTAGATGTCCTACAAGTTTGCTATTTAGTGTATACTAGAAATTATAGCTGAAATACATGTAATTCCATTTTGTAATTAATATGGACTTCTTAATCTATTTAATTTAGATCAGTACAGTAATAATATTTTATATTCGCAATTCAAGTACAATTTTTTAATCACCGTACCTTTTGTTTCACAAGAAAAAATAACATTATTTTCAAATGAAAAGAAAAATTTACTTACTGTATTATAAAGTTCTTCAAGGCGAGCCATTGTGAGAAATTTCCTCATACTCACTCCATTTTCAAGAAGTAATTTAACAAAATCTGTTCGATCATGTTCCAGTGCTTGCATCATTGCTTCATCAAGTGCCCCTGAGACACATATACAAAAAGTTCTGCATAGGATTTTTTCAAGCTTGAAAGTATGTATATTTTATTAATCAATGAAGTGTACAAGTTGATTTCAACCAACATTCCACAAAGTGGTATGATTCAAGACAGTAAGTTATTTATGTTTTCAAAGTGTGTAAAAGGTGATAACTATAAACAAGAATCTACAAAATACTACTCTAAAGGACACTTCTTATTGCAATTTTAGAACTGAGATTGACAAAATTTGACTTGTGGAGGATGTACCATAAGCAAATTTTATCAGGGATTTCTTATAGAGAATACAAGATGTGAAAAAAATTTGGCAAATAATGCGTATATTACTCACCCTGAGGCCACTCTTGTCCATACACAAATATTTCAGATCGAGCAATATCAACCCTGTTCCATGTAAGTGCTAAACTTAATTGCTCTGTGGGTGTCAGATGTTGACTAGTGAATAGCGCAGTAAGGATCGTTTGATCCAGTTCCTGGCTTTTCCAATCAGGCCTATCGGTGATACGGAAGACAGTGATCTGCAGATTAAATTTTAATATAAATGACATCGTATTGAAGTATTTATTCCGTAATATAATTGATAACAAAATCAACTCAAATTACAAGTACCCATTGGTTGAGAATAATGAGAACATCAGTAAACCTTGAAAGAAAGAGGAAAAATGAAAAATGTGAAACAATAAGGTAGGTCAAGAGTATCATTGAATATTGAACAATCAACAAAAGTACTTTTTGACACTGTAATTTGATTCTGATAGGATATACTGATGTTGTTTAATTACATTAAATATCACCTTTTTGTTGTGTGAAGTAAATGAATATGAAATTTATAGAAAATGCAATAACTACAGTTTATTACGCCTGAATAAAAGAACATTAGAAAATAAAAAAAAATAACAGAATAAAATCAACACAATCAAGCTGTGTTGATAGGCAACTGTACTGAGCTGCAATTTGATTGTATATTTAAAATTGTAAAAAAAATAAAAACATTTTAACTTGAAAGAAAGGAGTCCCAATTTCCATTTAAGTTCCCAGAGTTTCCATTTTACAAGAACAAAATATACAGGGAATGCTACCCAAAATGGCAAAAATAATGGTTTTCTTTTTACGCCCTAGGATTAATTTTTTTAACATTCATTTAGCAAAATGAATAGATTTTTATAGATATTTACTAGGTGGCTACTTACCAAGTTCTTCTTGCTGGTACACTGTAATAACTCTGAATACAAGCACTCAGCTTGTTCTAAACCTACTTCAAAAGTACGTTGGATGGTGCCAATCAGGTAGTCTTTCATGTTCTCGAGAACAGTCTGCTCACCACTTTCCGATGCATACCTTAACAAAAACCATCAAGAGAACCAATTACAATAAAGAGAGAAGAGATAAGTAATAGCAACCAATTGCAATAGAAGAGTTGAAGAGAAGATGAGAAATTAACTCTCTGATTGAATGGAAGTTGAAAGCTCTGACAAAGGCATCCAATTTGCAATGGAGCAATGATTATTTTTGTTACCTACAGCCGTGAACAAAACAAATTACTCTACACACTTGATTCGTACACAATGCCTTGTGGTTTTTATCATAATTTATCAGAAATAAAGTTGCTTTAGATTACTTTTTTTTCACTCTTAAGGTACCCAAACTAGAAACTGAAATAGAAATTAAACTACATGGGAACAGTCAAAATTCTGAACAATAATTTTTTTCGTTCAGTTATGTCTGATGTTGCATACTTGTACAGTTGTTGATAAATGTACAATAGATGTTATTAACATATAACTATAAAACATCTAGTCATAATTTATTCCTTGAATATGACATTATTGTGGTTAATGATTATGAAATCATATACGCCTGAAGATGAGGTCAACCAAACCTCAAAACATTGGTACTTTCTAAACAAGGGTTTTAATATACAGCATTATTAAAATATAACAATTGTGCAGTGGTTTTTAAATAACACAAACATTTAGAAATAATTTAGACTTTTTGTATAGTACATCAAGAAATTTTTCAGTATCCTCTTTCCATGTTTGCTTAATGTATGTCTAAATGCCCTAAGAAATTATAATGAAGTTGTGAATAACTAAAAATGTAAGATTAGCATTTATCCATTTCAGAGGGAAATGAAAGTACGAAATCAGTTACTTCAACAGGAGGAAGTGACATTCCACATAATGTTTTTATTTTCAGTTAATGTTTACATAATGAAAAACATTTCATTATGTAATGTTTACATAATGTTATAAATGCAATATCAGTAGCTCTTTCTTATTTTCCTAATATTCATCATAAAACTGTAGTTTCGGTTTTCCTGGATGCTCCAATTATTTATGTATGTTTTTTACTTTATTTCAGCTAGAGACACCCAATCAGAGTCACTATTGTCTTCCTCACTAGAAAGATTAGTCAGATACATGAGCAAATGTTGTTTCTTGTAGCCAACAATATTCCAAATTAAATTGTCAATAAAGCAAAAGTATTGACATATTTGATTGTATATTATTCCATTGGAATCCAATCCTCATTTAAAATATTGTCAGACCTTCATATATTGAACCTCTATATATAGAAATTATATATAAATCGAATTATTTTTTGATCCCTTGAATATTCCATTTAAAAACATCTCTATACATATCACAAATTATTTCTATAAATTGTTCTAATTTTCTGACTTTACTGTTTTTTCTACAAAATAAAAACACACAGTACGTACTATAAATTATGTTTCTAAAAAATGGTATTGTTTAATTTGAAAGGAGAGAATTACTACCGCAGAAGTTATAACTTCCTTCTAGATGTTTATAGAATTGAATGTACGTAAAACAACAACGCGTTTTCACAGTAGAGTCCCCAGCATTCTCATGAATATAATTCACTCCTTTCCCTCTCCTAGGGAACTTGCTAATCATGGGACAACGTGCGCTAAAGAGATACGAAGGTCAATCGCGTACCCCTATGACTAATGGTCCAGCCATGGCCTCCTCCATATCAAGGAGACCATGGTCCAGCCCTACGATGTTATTTCGTCTGTTTACCGTATGTTCAGTTTGCTGTTAAGAAGCTTAAGAAGCGAGTTCAAAATGTATCGAAAATCTCTTAATGTTGCAGAAAAAGCGAACTTGATTAAAGATGTGGACAGTGGTATGTAAAAAAATCTAGTGGCGCAGAAGTATGGAATACCAGCTAGTACAGTTTCGACTATAATGGAAAACAGCGAAGAAAATTTCAAAAATCTTAAAACCGTAGAAGGAGATCGGCAAATTTATATTCATCGAAGTTTCTATTTGTTGAATTTTATCGAAGGAACCCTCAGATTCGATACATGGAGGTCCGACTGTAATTGAGACAATAATTAGGAATAATAATTAACTGATACATCTCCACTTCAAATGTCTTATAACACGTGAAAATCAATTGGTCAAGATAGTTTTTCGAATTCACCTGTAAAACGCCGACCTGTAGTCTTAGACTATATTTCCAAGTTGTATTACATGTTTCACTCGAACCCGGAAGAGACCAAATGAATACATCAACACTTCCCATCAAGAAACTATGACCTTATTTTTCTTCGTAACAGTACCGATTATTGTTTGCATGTTCGAGCGCCTGTTATCTTTTGACGTCGCGGTGTTTTATTTCTGGATTTATATGCGTTCCCACGGAATTTGTGAAGGCGCTGTAACTGCGGGGGCCCGGGGAGTGGCTCGTCCGTGCTTAATCCGGGCTCGGTGAAAGAGAAGAAAGAGAGAGAGCACGGAAGAGAGAGAGAGAGAGAGAGAGAGAGACGGAAGAGAGAGAGAGAGAGAGAAGAGAACGGAGAGAGAGAGAGAGAGAGAACGGAAGAGAAGGAGAGATGAGAGAGAGACCGGAAAGAGAAGAGAAGAGAGAGAGAACCGGAAGAAGAGAAGTAGAGTAGAGGAAGAGAGAGGAATGACGAAGAGAGAGAGAATAAACCGAAGAGAGAAGGCAGAGAGGTAAGACAGGAGAAACCGGAGAGAGAGAGAGAGAGAAAGAACGGAAGAGAGAGAGAGAAGACGAGAAGAGAACGGAAGAACGAAGAGAGAGAGAAAAAGAACGGAAGAGAGAGAGAGAGAAGAAAAACGGAAGGGAGAGAGAGAGAAACGGAAGG